TGATAAACAAAAAGAAGAAAGAGAAACGTGTCGCTAGACACGTGGGTGTGTAATAACCCGGTCATTTTCTTCCCTTCATTTTTCCTCAGGATTTTACGGATGAATTTTTTTTCGTTGAAAATTCTTTTCTAAGTTCAGTTTCTCATCACTTAGTGTCGTCTCGAGTGCTCGAAAATGGCTTCTAAGACTCTTTCCTTTGGATTGACAACTTCCTTTGAGGACCAAGTCATTTCCACATTTTTCGTTTTTCGACATTATTCATTTTTTCGTCCTTTTTCCTATTTTGTCTTTTCCCCGTTTGTCACTTTGTTGGCAAAACCTCACTCTTTGTTTTCGGAGTTGGTTTTTGACTTCGCATATCTTCATTTTAAGTGGTTTCCACGAAATGCATATCTTTACTTTTGCAGAAAGATACTTTGGTTGCTCCCGATGTCCATACGGGCATGGATACAAAGGTTTTCAAAATCTCTTTCTTTTCTTGGGGTGTTTTTCATAAATATCTTTTGAAGATATTTTATTTTAGGGGTATCTAAGAAAATATCTTTTGGAAGATATTTTCATTCTAGGGCAGTTTTGCAGTTAACCCTTTTTGTAGGGGCCATTGTGCAATTAACGAAACTTATTGAAAAATACCTTGTTTTGAGCCTGAATTCTCGTACGGGATTCATTTTCACATTTCGTCGAGTAGTGTACTCATAGAACTTCCTTCTAATCATTTTTCTCTAGTTTCAGGGTTTCTAGACTCGGTTGTCGCCGAATTTGTTTGGGGCATATCTCTTTGCTCGGGACCCCGTTTTTGACGCCGTTTCTTCTGTTGATCATAATTTCTCATTTTGAATCTTTTTTGTTCAAGGAGTTCTACCGTTTGGGCCCATCTGCTCAAATTCCACTTTTCCAGACCCGGCGGGACTCTTTCGTGGCACTTTTAAGGTTTTTCTATAAATAGGGTGACTTAAGAAGAAAAATCAGATTTTTCTCTTCTTCTTCCTCTCTTAGCCGGCAGGCATGGAAGACCATGGGGCTGCCACCTTCTCTCTCCTCCTTTTAATCACTTTTCTTTGGTGAAAAGTCTTCGGCCTTAACGTTTAATGCTTGCCTTGACAACGCGCATCTTTACCCCTTATTAGAACCCATTTCTAACCATTTTTTGAGTTCGGGTTTGAAGTGAAGTTGTGATTTTCATGGGGCTTCCTTGGGATTCTTGTTCACCATGTTGTCCTCGACAAAACCTAAGAGTATCGTCAGATTCAGAGCAGTTTCAATTCGGTGGGGATTTGAGATTTCATCTCAAAATGAGGTAGGGGATGTCTTAAGGCTATATTAATGTTGTATTGATTGTTATATGAGCATATACAACTTGTAAGCATACCTTTGTTCAAGTTTTAGAATTTAATTTAATTATTTTCTATGATTAAGATTTAATTCATATGGATGTATGTTGCTTAAATTAAATTGTGGCATGCTAGTAATTTAGGCCTTGGTATACTTGTTGACATATATTAAATTGGGAGCATTTGAATAAGAATTGCAAAATTTATTTAATATTTATCTTTTGTAAAAGATTAATTTGCATAGTTGTATCAAGTATGAAATCAACTTGTAATGTGATATTAAAGTAGGTCTTGGTGAGTTCTTCAACATATATTAAATTGAGGACATTTGGATATGTTTGAAAATCTAGAGGAAAATTAATTAATTAACTTAATTAATTTTATTTTAAGTGTTGTAGTCGGTTAAATTAATTTTGGGTATAATATATGTGAAGAGCATGTTATAACCTTTAACATACATTAATTTGAACCTATTTGAAATTGACTTGAAATCTAGAGACTTTTAATGTTAGGTTGATAATCTCTTAAAATGTAATATATTTAATTACCTTGTGAGCATGCTACTGACTTGTTGTAGAATTAGTACTTGTCGCCTCTGAAAATGGTAATTTGACTTAGCATGATATGTGATATCATTGTCTTGAATAACTTGTTTAAATATATCTTGTGTAGGTATATAACTTGTTAGAATATTACAATTATTTACCTTGGAAGCTAATTACTAAATTGAAGCTTATTTAGTACTTGTGACTTAAGGTGGTAATGTGGCTCAATTGTTATAAAATATTCTTGCTTTGTGTATAAATTGCATATTGAGGACATGACATGTCATTTACTATTTAGACTTGAATTCTAGGATATGACTTGTGTGGATTCAACCTTACTTGTGCATGGAATGTGGTAACTTGCATTTGATTTTGTATAAGTTTTGAACTTATTGGTTTTGGAAAGCTTGTGAGGACATAATTTATATGATGGCTAGGGTTTGGCTTTAGTACGGAGACAAGAGTCTTCTAAGTCATAAGTGCACACTAGGTGGTACCTTGTGGGTCATAATTACCCGAAAATACTTGCTTGGTTTAGCGACCGCATGTCCTAGTCTTTCCACTATTTGATTTTGCATTTAATTTCAAGTTGTTAATCATGGATTACTTGTAACTTGAGAATTAATGCTTGCCTTGGATATTTGATTCCTATTTAGTATACTTGAACTTGTATACTTGCTCTGTGAGTTTAAATTTCACTTAGTATGCTTGTGCCGTGTATACTTGTTTTAGGCATACCTCTTTAGCTTAGTATACGTGTGTTCGTATGCTTAATTTACGAGATTTTCATGTAAAATGCATACTTGTGTAAATATGCTTAGACATTACATGACTTATCTTAATATGGTTTAGTATACTTGGAAATGTATGCTTGTATGTCGTATAACATGTTTCACATTGTTTAGTATACTTGAGCATGTATACTTGTATGTCGTTGTTCACTTTAAATTGCATGAGTAGCTTAGGATACTCCCTGAGTTTCACTTTGACATAGATGTTAGGTGGCATGAGCCCCTTTAACATATTTCACCTTAAGGTGATATAATTGTAAAATGCTAGGTCCACGCATGCTCATCTCCGCTTTATGTTACTCACCCACGTAGTGGGGACATTTTTCAGGTATGAAGGCTTGGTTCGTGATGCTCACTGCTCCTTCGATGACTTGTAGCTTTAAGTTTCATTTCATGCAAATGTTAGCATGAAGTGCCTTTTTGTAGCTTATATATCAAAACTTGTATTTTTGTTCTAAATATGTAATGTGCACATAAGTATACTTTTTGTAAGGTAATTGATGTGTATGACATGAGGCCAAGGGCCAAACATGTTTATTATTGCACTTATACTCATTTGGCGCTAGATTTTATAAATTAAAAAAAAAAAATGTAATTTTCCTACCTTTGAAGGTTTGGCATGTCAAATTTTGTAAATGAATTGTAATAAGGCCATGGGCCATTGTAACATGTCTAAAATGTTATTTCACGTTTGTGTGTATGCTCACAATAGCACACAAGTGCACGGTTTTAAGTTTGATCATGCCATGGGGGATTCCAATAAGGCCTAGGAACTCTTTTCAGCCTTGGTGCATAATAGGCCTGATTTTCACATTTTCGACCTATTTCGGTCGACCGGTGGCTTATTTTGGTCGACCGGTTCGTTGTTCAAATTAATTTGAACAGTATTTTGTCAATTCTAGTAGCCAATTTCACTTCGAGCCTCAAACCGGTCGATCGAAATAAAGGCTCATTTCCCTTTTTTTCTTGGTTCACTTCGGTCGACCGAAGCATCATTTCGGACAACCGAAATGGAGTTGGCTTGTGGGTTTTGTTTGGTTGGTTGCCTAGACAGGTTAACTTCATTTGTTTGATTCCATAGGACCTTGTTGATCTTGCTTGAGCCATTTAATGGCGTACATGGTCTAGTTTGAACTAGATCTTGCACCTTTGGTTGTCATTGGTGCCATAGGGTACCAAGTGACCTTTTCATTCTAGCTTTCACCTCCGATTATTCTTTTGGGTTCCGTGATCTCATGGAAGGTCATCTTAGGGTCTTAGAGGTGTGTTATGCCTTGAGAGACCATTGTCTTATTTTTTTTGCTTCTGCATCTAGATCTGTTATCGAATCAATCTTCGGTTCATCACAAGGACACTGGGTTGAAAAATCCAGGGTCACGACAGGGTGTGTATTTTCTGGCCGTAGGTTACTGCACCGTCGGTTTTCCCCTCTCTATACTTGAAGTTAAGTTGGAGAGACAAAGAGATGAGAGAGATATAATAGAGAGCCACCCTTTTAAAAAGGGTCCCACCAATATGGATTTTAAGCCTTAAAAATAGACTTCACTTAAAATACGGTTCAATAGTCCACCTGAGAGCCTCTCCCCCCCCCCCCCCCCCCCCACACACACACATATATATATATATATATATATTATGTTTTCAGTTATCTGTGAATGAAATGCTTTACAAAAAGCTAATAAAAAATCAAGGTCCATTACTAAAGGGATTAGGCGAGTAAAGCTAATGAAAACAATTCTCTTACTAAAGGGACGAGATGAGTGAAGTTCGTAAAACTTAATTCCCTTACTAAAGGGACGAGATGAGTGAAATTTGTAAAATTTATTCCCTTGTCAGAGGGATGAGCTGACTAAAACCTATAAAATCTACAAATAGTATGTTGGATTTTCAAAGAAAAATCCAATTTAAAATCACTAAGAGTCATTGATCATGAGTTTAAATCCTTCCAAAACAGAACCTTGATTTGGTATCTATATTAATTCTACCATTGGGAAGAGTACCCGCCCTGATGTACTGTTCACCTTGGAATAGAAACCCGGGACAAAAAAAAAAAAAATTATATATATATATATATATATATTGTTCACCTTGGGAATTGTGTCGAAGGGAAAAAAAATTCCATGTACTATTCACCTTGGGAAGAGTACCTGAGATGACACTGTTCACCTTGAGAATTGTGTATGAGGCAAAAAATATATATTTTTTCCTGTATTGTTCAGCTCGGGAATTGTGCCCAAGGCAAAAAAAAATCCATGTACTGTTCACCTTGGGAATTGTGTCCGAGGCTAAAAAAAGAAAAAAAAAAATGACATTTTCAAAGCTAAACGAGCAAGTTTGGGAATAAGAGACTACTGATAAGGGAAATTTAAACACATAAGATAAAGTTCAACCGGATAAAGATAATCCCATGCATTTTATCATATAATGATCACATGCATTTTATCACATATATATATATAGGTTAGGAGGCAAACGAGGGGTGAGAAGAACCTCCAATGGGGTGGCTTTGAGGTTGGTTAGTCCAAAGCTCTCACTCATATCCACCTGTTCATCTAAATGAGTCCCAAGTTCAAACCCATGAATCAAACTAGCGAGTGTCAATTGCATGTTTTGGAGTCCCAAAGAAATTCCAGGACACATTCTTCTTCCACTGCCAAATGGTATCAACTCAAAATGCTGCCCCTTAACATCAACGTTGTTGTGGCTCGTCAAGAATCTCTCAGGTCGGAACTCATTTGGATCTGACCATACACTAGGATCGCGATGTAGCTTCCATAGATTCACCAGTAGGCGTGTGCCCTTGGGGATGTTGTAGCCACCCACAACACAATCCTCCGTGGACAGATGTGGTATAGATAGTGGCCCGGGAGGGTATAGACGTAAGGTTTCTTTGAAGACAGCTTGGAGGTAGACTAAGTTCTTCACATCGGTCTCATCCACTAGTCGTTCTCTTCCAACGTGGAAATCAATCTCGTTTTGGACCAATTTAAGAGCGTGTCGATTGTTTAAGAGCAATGACAGTGCCCATGTCAGCGTCACAATCGTAGTGTCGGTGCCCCCCGTTAGCATTGTCTGCATCAGATCGAGATTCATAGCTCAAATTCTAACCATTCAATATGTTCATTCACGACAAAAAGAAAACATAGTAATGATTGAAAATTTGAACTGCTGAAAGAAATTGATTTTTTTCACTATTATCATGGGACAAATATTTATCTTGAAAGCATATTTACGTGTGGCCAATGATCCATGTTGAAGTGAAATTTATATGACCACATACAGAGCATATAACTTTTATCCAAAGTTGTAGTACATGTGACCCATAACCTCTGTTAATCTTAACTTATTATTGAATTCGAAAATAAGGAACATAAATATATATATATATATATATATATATATATAATGAGTACTATATGCATATACATAATTAATTTTACCTGTGCACTTTTGTTAAACGTGTTTATGAATATTGTATACCATAGAAAATGTACTGTACTAAATTTAATATAGATAACAAATTGAGATTGCTAAATTTAATATAGTATAAAGCATTTTTGCATGGTTTCTGAACACACCAAAGACTCCAATAAGAATTACTTGATGTAAATACATTTAGGGTGTGTTCCGCTCGAAGAAATTTGAGCATTGAAATTTATGGAATCGGAAAAAAAATTTAATTCATTTTTCTGAATTGTTTTCCTCCAATTCCGATTTTAATTTCAAGACTCTAGAGCGGAACAGAGCTGGGAATTTTAACAACTCATACTAAACAAACTTATTCAGTGGTCACCACTAACTGGTTCTCTCTTGGACAAGTTGCTCTGGCCCTAAAAACCTACCTGCTGCCTATGACTTTATTTTTCTCGAAGATCTTCAACTGAGCAAAATAATATTCTATTAAATGAAGGTATTCATATTTGGATGGCCCCTAAAAATCAGCTTCATGAAATCCATAAGGCATGTTTGGTCTCAGAAAACAATACCAAACAGACTCTTATATTCCTATAGGAGATTCTACCCGGCTTATGTTCCAACATTAAACACCTCATTTTAGTGCGATATAATCCAACTTAATCAAAATTAATTCAAGACAAGCTCGAGCTCACTTCTTACTCAAACCAAGTGAATTACAACAAATTCCATCTAAATCACTAAATCTAACAACGCATACACGCACCATTTAAATGAAAAAAAAAAAAAATTAAAATTAAAAATTGGTTAGAGCATGTACCAGACATGTAGCTTTATTGATCGTATCAGCATCAAAGTCCGGAAAATTTTCTGCCTCAGTATGGTCAAGAAGCGACAGCAACACATCCATGAAGTCTTGATGATCGCTCTTCATCATGCCAGAATCTCTCCTCCTTTTATGCTCCTCTAGCCAACCTTCAACTATATTGTCGATTTCTTTTGCTGTCTTCTTCATGACCTTCTGGTACCCTCCCAAATCCAAACACCTCAGAAAAGGGATGGCATCGGAAACCAAAAACGCCCCCAACAATTTATGGAACTCTGTGATGGCCTTCTCAACTCGTGCCCCCTCTTCGTCGTCAAGCGAATATCGCTTCCCTACAAGCATCCTAACCATCACACTTAGGGTTAAGTTCGCGAACCATCGCTTCATCTCCAACGTCACCACATTTGAAGCACTTCTTTTCTGAACCCATAAGTTATATACCTCTCTTATGGATGTTCTTATCTCCGATACTCGGACATTTCTAAGCATATCGAGCCTGGGCTTGGAGAGAAGCTCAATCATGACTATCTTCCGGACTTGGCTCCAGTAATGGCCATAAGGACTCACAGCAAACATGGCATAGTTGTAGGCCAAGAGCTCCACTGCTAGAGCCCTTGGACGGCTGGCGAAGACCTTGTCGTTGGTGGTGAAACATTCTTTAGCCATCTCCCAATCACTCACTACCAATGCTCGGTTTACCCCGAGCTTTATGGTGAAGATTGGACCGCACTTGTCAGCCATAGAACCCAACGTTTTGTGTGGCAACTGAGAGCCTCCTAGGAGATGGAGGTGACCGATCAAAGGCAATGCCCCAGTAGCTTGGGGTGCTACTCTTTTCTTACTAGCTGTGTTAAGGTGACCAACCCTTGTTATCCATAGGGCAAAGCAAACAAAAAAAAGTAGATATATAGCCAGCATTACAGTTGTTGGAAGCGTTAGGAGGAGTGACTCCATTGTTGTTGATTTTTATGTGTTTGGGCCGTTTTGAGATTCAATATATAATGAGTTAGGAATTATGATGCTGGGATCTGGCTACAGACAGATACTTTAGCAGGTATTTTAACAGTCCAGATGGTGAACAATTGTGTATTTTTATATGTATATATATGTTTTTTTTGAATTTTTTGACCAAAAAAAAAAAAAAATAGAAAAGAAAGATTTAGTGCAAAAACCCGATAGAAAAGAAAAGAAGGATGTAATGTGATTTACCATTAAAAAAAATAAAAGTGCAGAAGACCAAATCAACAAACTGATACAGTATATATTTATACCCAAAAGTCTAAGTCAATTATTGTAAACAAACACACACCGAAAGTGATAAGATTGTATCTCTATTTGATTGACAGGCCTACAATATTTGATTTACACATCAGGACGTTATCAGGTTAGGAATTGTGATGCTGGAATCTTGACTACAGATCGGATACTTTAGCAGGTAAATTAACGATCCAGAGTGAACGATAATGTATTTTTATATGTATATATGTATATTTTTTTGGGTGAATAATTGTCATTATAATTTGGATGGATAAGATTAGCCGAAGACATTAGTGTCCGCAATAATTTTTTGTCACAACAATATCAATAATGTGTTATGCATCAAAAATATGATGCAATTTAATGAAAAGTTATTTTGATAAGTGACTTAATTGGGTCCCAACTTAAACATCAGTGTCATATGTTGTATTATCACAAACTTGACATCTGATTAGGGGTGTGCACGGTCCGGTTTAAACCGGATTTGAAGTATTTTGAAACCAAATTATTTATAACGGTTCATCATTTTTGAAACCAGACCAAATCATAAAGTGCATGGAACCAAACCAAACCAAACCGCAAAAAACCGGGTTGGTTCGATTTAGTTTGTCAGTTTCAGTTGATTTCCCTTTTATTATATTTTAATTTAGAGGTGGCAAAGTTATATATATATATATATATATATATATATATATATATATATATCAACTAACATTGATATAACACGTCAAAAAAAAAAAAAAAAGAATTTTAATAAGAAATAAAGGAAAGAAAATTGAGATATATTTGAAAGGAAAAAAAATTGAAAATTGAGATATATTTAAAAGGAAAGAAAATTGAGATATATTTGGAAAGGAAAATTTGACTTTTTTAAAAAAGAAATTTAAGAAATTTAAAGAACAAAAGAAAGAAAAGGGGCACGTGAGAACTTTACTTGATTTAGGTTTAGAATATGATATACATATATAAATATATATATATATATTATATAACATAGTAACGGTTCGGTCCGGGCTGGTCTGGTCCGACACGACTCTAAACCAGGACCAGACCGAAAAATTACGGTTTCATAATTTTAGGCCCATGACCAGACCAAACCGCTATACAACTAGCTCAAACTGCCCAACTCAGTATGGTTCGGTCTGATTTTTCGATTTACCGAATTTTTTGAACACCCCTACATCTGATAAGGTTATGGTTAGACGTACGGATTTATTATTTTCTCCCACGAAATTGCTTACAAAACTCTAGTAATGGTTATTAATTGTAATTTTACATAAGAAAATTAAAGGAAAAATTACACTTAGTTAGGAGTCTTAAATAATAAAATGTTCTATTTTAAAAGTTCATTTTTTACTTTGATTAAATTAAGTAAAATAATTACATATGCATCAATAACTATTATTTAGGTCCAAAATGCCCTCCAAACACTTATTCCAAAATACTAAAAATTATTCTCCTAAAATCAAATATTTTCTTTACATAATTTATTTCTTTTAACTTTGAACCATATTAGTACAACTTTCATATATACACACACGGTAACTTATAGAAATAATAAAAAAGATTTAATATAGTAAAAAATGGGGCAATCAACGTTCCCAAAAATAAAAATATAATTAAACTCAAGAATATATAAATCGTCTTTGATGTGGTGTATGCCTTGAGATGATCAACAAATTTTTGGCTCAATTAATTACTTTGTTTTATAAAACAAAAACAAAAAATTAATTGCTGGTGCACCATTTATTGAAGCAACCGTTCAATTTTTTTCATGATCTCCCTCTTTCACCATATAGTTTTTTCATGATCTCCCTCTCTCGTGTGTGTGTTTGCGCGCGCGGGGTATGTGTGTGTGTGTGTGTGTGTGTGTATATATATATATATATATAGAGAAAAAAATTCATTTGTTGGAAGCGTTAGGAGGAGTGACTCCATTGTTGTTGATTTTTCTGTGTTCGGGTCGTTTTGAGATTTAATAAATATAGAAGGGCAAAAGTAGAATAGCATTTTGGACTGGTTTGTGGATAGTAGGAGCGCTAGAGACACTGGAATTATGAAAGAAAATAAAAAACAAAACAAAAAAACACCACGTGTTATAAAAGTATTTGATGGTATTAACCAAAATAAAATAAAGAATTCATAGTAGTATTATTTTGAAAAAGAGTGTGTCACAATTCAAAGATTGTGTTTTTTTGGCTAAGCAATTCTCATTATAAACGTGGATCCGTAAAATTAGTGGAAGATGTAGTGTCGGCCGGAAATCTTTGTCACAACACTATGAATAAATTATTGCCATATATTTTAGTCCCTGTGCATAAAAAGGAATCTATTTTTAAAAAAATATTCCTAATTTACCTTTATTATTTTAAATTATAAAAATAATTAAAGTTACGTGAAAGAGTATATTTAAAATTCATTACCTACACAATAATTATAAAGTTATGTGGACCACCATTGGGGTGTAAGTGATAGCATTTTTTTGAAAAGTGTTTTTGTGTGAGATTTGTACAATGGAGTTTTAGTAAAGTTAACCCATAAATAAAATATTAAAAATTACATTCTTAAAAAGTTAGTTTTCGAAAAGGGATACCGTGTGTGAGACAAAGTGAGTATCACTAACTTAACATTCAATGCATTTTCTTAGTCTCATTTATGGGATTGAAAATTCTATAATGCCCCCAAGAGATCCTTACCCCGGGTCTCCCGGCCCAGTCGTTGAAAGTTATGATAAGGCTCACATGATGAATAATTCAAAGGTTGAGAGACCTTGAGGATACCATACCCGTGAATATTGTAAAACTTGGTGTTATTCTATCTCAAAATTGTTTTTAAAACTCTGTTAATGGTGGTTATTAATTGTAATTTTGTATAAAAAATTTAAAAATGTCCATTCAATGTTTCTGAAAGTTTCTGTTTTTGGCTATCTATCTATCCATATTAAAGGTGACTAGCAAACCAAATTACTTGTGACCTCTTCAAATTTTAATAAATTATTTTAATTTTCCTTTTAAAAATTAAATCTAATAAAAATGTTTTAATTATTATCATAGTCCGTGTCACAGCATATAACTACTCCATTTATATATATATTATGTGTCATGATTTTTTATTTTGTTACTTTTTTATTTTTATCTTGTCGACAAACACCACTTACCCCCTTATTCTTGTGGGAATTTGAAACTTTGAACCTTGCAATTTGTATTTTGAATGTGAAAAAGTAACATTAGACTTACAACCTATTGGCATTTGTTATTAGTTAAAAAGAGAAGAAAAACGTACAAGTTTAGTTTTCTCCTCAAATTTATTTTTTATTATCTTTATATTTTTTTTTTATGCTCTTAAAAGTTTACATTGAAAATGCACCAAAAGAAAACTACTGAAATTTTTACATCTATTTTTAAAATTTAATTTTATATTACTAGTATGCCCTGAAATGAATATTTCTAACTATGCCTAGTCATTGATCCATTTAGTTGGAATGTTTCTTGATTGGAACTCAAGTTTTAATAGTACCTTAAAATTCCAACTTAAAAAAATATAAGGATTAACATCACAAAACTAATTAAATTTGTAACAGCTTCTCATTTTAACTCGTTGAATCGTAGTAACTTCTCCACAATCCGATCAATTTGCTCACCCTATTTCCTTGTGTGATAAAATGACTGACATCTTCTCAAGTGCTTTTGCAGGGTTAAACAAATTTTTTATCTGTCCAATTTCAAATTCCTCTTTTGTAGTGTTAATCTTTTCTACCTTCAAGGCTTCGACGAATAAATTCAAGATCTTGAGATTCTCAGTACCCTAAATTAAACATTTATTATTTTGATTAAATCCAAAAAAAAAATATAACGATCTTAAAAAAAAATGTGAGGAATTTTTTTTAAAATAATATATATATAAGGAAGAAAAATTATTAAATACTTGATCCAAATTCCTCTTAATATATACTTGATGTGAGATATTATTTTATATTTAGCAATTATCGTAAACAAAACAAGTCCACGTCGAGTTGTAATTCTGGTTACTTGCAATGCAAGTTAACAAGATCGACGGCCACTACGGAATTGGAAAGGTTGTTCAAAGTTACTACAATTGAGATCATTTGAAATAAGGTAAGACCAACACATTAGGAAGGATTCTAAACAAGGTAGGACACATTCTACACTTTTCATATTTTTCAAAACTTACCGTAGAATGTTTTTAGGCTGAATGAACCAAAATTCAAGTTCTGGCCAACTTGAACCGGTTCAAGGCTTCAAGTTGGCTTCGAATTCACCAACTACCAATCATGAACCGGTTCAGCCCCTCTGAACCAGTTCAAGGAGTCATGTTCACAATACAGTTTTCAGTTTCCTTTTCCTAATTTCTTTCCTAGTTGGTCTAGAATTGTACCACGTCCTATGGACGAATTTTTCCATATTTTCAGAGGGATTAGAATATTCTAAACTCTATGTAAACCTTCTCATACACATAGGTTTATTTGCGGCTTTTGCTTTATCAGTTTATTATTCTTAAAAAGCCTTAGGAAGATTTTTGTCTTAGAAATTCTTAGAGAATTTTCTGTTTGTCTTTCTAGAACATATACACATAAACACATAGTGAATTTAGAGTTGTGGTGTTCAAATCCTGATCGTAATCATACAATTGCATCTACATCGATCAGACAAAAGCAGATCTACTTATACATCAATCCAGAAGTTGAAGAACAGAAGTAAAAGCGATCACACTTTGAAAGGGTTGGAGCATTCGAGGAGCATTGTTTGGTCTATCTGCTACTCTTCTACAAAGATCAAGCATAAGTCTGAGGTCAAGTTGCTGTTGGACAGGGAGTCGTAAAGTCAGAGGATTGTCAGCAATTGGTATTTGGTATAATGATAAAGTGTGAGCTAGAGTCAAAGTTCAGTGTACTTTGTTTCAAGTATAGTGGATCGGTTTACTTTAGACTGCACAGTGTAATACCCCTAATTTTAAAAGGATAGTTT